GGGAGTGAGTAATGAGAGCCGATGGCTTCTTGTTGGTAAGTTCGATCTGGAGATGTTTTGTGGAGAATTTAAGATGAGTGAGAGATAGCGAGGTGTGATGTCTGAGAGGCGATAGCGCTGAGTGCCAGCAGTTGGCCTAGAGACTGTTTGGAGATCCAGGCATGTGCAGTTAAGCATGGTTTATGGTGAGAGAGGTTGGTTCGAGAGTGTGTGTGGCGGCAGATGCAGATTGCATTAAGAGTTTTTTTCTGTGCCTGACGTACAATGTTCAACTTTCAAGTAAAAAAGAGAACATCAATAATTTGTCCTGGTTTATTAGTTGCAAAATCCAGTGTGACATGATTTACTCCCAGTGAGGGTTTAGTGGACCAACGTTTTACCCGAGTGGTGGGAGTGAGATGGGTGACAGCGTCTGCTATTTGATTGGCTGAGGAGAACTGCGACTGATCACAAGATAAAATATTGACGATGAATACAAGATTATAGTATACCTGAGGACTTTGTTTGGTCTTTCAATCTCGCGTACCATTTTTTGCTTTTTATAATGATGTATTGATTCCAAGAATATATAAGAGTGTAAAAAGTGCTGACACAAGACCCGGCTTTCCCTATATAGTGTTATTCAGCTTAGAAACAGGTTTATTTCCAGCTGTTATAATCTGCAGGAATACTAGATGCTTGTGATAATTATGATTGGTGTCAGTGCAAGGTCTTAACCAGCAGAGTGAGCCGTGATGTTGACGATTTCACTTCAATTTAATTTCTATTGTGTATATTAGCGCCTAATTACATATCAGAAGGTTATCTCAGACACTTGTATTAGAGCAGGTCTAGACCGAATCTATTAACATTTACAGGACCCCAACAGTACCGCAGGCACATTCCAGATTGGCGACGGGGGACAAGAAGAAAGCTCGCCTTTTGACAGCAAAACCTAGACATACCTTCGCGGTGGTCATCTCTGCTTAGACCAGTTGGGTGAGAGAGATAGAGGATCAGACGAGCAGGAAGACAGAGACAGACAGAGAACAGACAGACAGATGTACAGCAACACAGTAGCAAACTACATCACATAGTAGGTGATCGATCGGCACGATCATGAAAAAGCCGCAATGACCTGATGACAGCGATCAACAATGGGGGACAGAGCAGCGACAACGTAACCGTGTAGCATAATAGATACTTAATCATAATTAATAATACTAACAATAATATCATGTGCTATTTAGCAGATGGTTAGTCAATGCAGGACCTCGGCAGAGGCCCACGCAAGGACTCCATGAGAACCCTGTGGAGAGAAAAGCACAAGAACGTCCGGGGAAAAAGTGAAGTTATATACATGAATTCAATGGGACAATGAAATGCAGTTGCAGAACAGAGAGACAGAGGAAAGAGAGGAGGCTCAGTGCATCATGGTGAGATCCCGATGAGTTCTAGTCTATAGCAGCACTAACTAAGGGATGTTCAGACTCATCCTGATCCAGCCCTAACAAATAAGCTTTATCAACAGAGGAACTCTTAAGCCTACTCTTAATGTGAGAAGAGGGTGTCTGCCTCCTGAAACCACACTGGAAGCTGGTTTCCCAGGGAGAGGAGCTTGGTACTTGAAGCTCTGCGCTTCTGTTTCTACTTTAGAGACTATAGGAACACAAGTAGCCCTTGCATTAAGAGAACACAGTGTTCTAGAAGGGTAATAGGGTACTATGAGCTCTTTAAGATATGAAGGGGCCTGACCATGAAGAGCTTTATAGGTGATACAATACGGTGGCAAGCAGCACAGAGTGAGAGAGAAGAAGCAGCTCTCAGCAATGACAACTAAAATTGGTTGACCATGTATATGTTCAATTATTTAACATGTTAAAGAAAATCTAACTTCAACATTTTGCTATAAATGTATTTGTTACAGCCTTCTGAGTAGCTTTGCAGAGTCGTATCAGTGCACAATGCACAAAGGTCTATTTTCATTCCAGCTCAAACATTTGATGAAATGACAGTTCTGCTATTTGTTGATTTATGAGATTCTACATATAGGCCGCTCCTATATGCTTGTGTATACTGTGTATGAATTGTTATCATGTTGTCTATATACCCGATTAAATAAAATGTTATATAATATTGATATATATAAAATAAAAAGCGATGATTCTTTGTAATTATAGCTCAAAAGCACAGAGCATGCTGTCATGGGATAGTTCAGTAAATTATTCTTGTTAAAAGGAGGACTTTCTTTGTGTGAGCAGGGGAGGGTCTTCTCTTTTAATATTTTTTATTTTTATGGTTCTGTGTAACAAACCGTCTGGGAAGTTGTCGTCAGGTTAACACAGGTAACGCAATGTCTGCCTCGTTGAAAAGGTATCAGCCATGGGTTTTAACTGGAGCTGCATGCTTCTATTCAGAGCAAGGCAAGAAGAAAACTGAGAGGGTTCAAAGTAAGAGCGGTTTACTTTTCTTTTTTTAGATGCACTGTCACTGGTGAGGTGACGTTTTGTGATGTTTGCACAATAATCACAAAAAATCAACATAAAAATAACAGCAACATCCTGGTTTTGAGAATAGTTCGCCTTTGAAGTACTTGACAGCTGTCTGCCATAATACTTCTGATACATGATGCAGTCATGGCCTTGAATGGAAAATGCTGTTGTTTCCCAACAACTGATCAACAGACTATTCGTCTGGGACTCAACATATGTCTTGTAATGTTACACTATGACCCACAGAATTACTCAGAATGTGTGAGTGCTGCACCCAGTGTAACAACAGCAAGATTTCTGCTGAATCCTTGAAACTGTATATGTCACAGTTTGATACAGTAGATATAAACTGCTGCTGTTTCCCAATAATAAACTGCAGTGCTATGCACTGTAGCTGTGTAATGAAAGTATAGTCTTTAAATATAGTCTTTCATTATACAGTACATAAATCTATGAAGACACTCCTGTACAGATGATCAGTAAGTTGAATAATGTTGTAATCATACAGAGATATTAATAAGCAGATAATATAATCTAATTTTATTAAAATATCATCATGAAAATCCAGTGGATGTCTGACCTATAGAGCATCCACCCTGGCTGTGTCCACATGGAGCTCACAGTGGAGCACTGCAGCAAAGAATGTGCATCATTTTAGTCTTTTATAAATAGTGTTTCTGGAAGCTAGTGTGATAACTGCTTAGTGGATACAAAATTATATATATATATTTCATTTGATGACAAATGTGTGCCACTAAAACAGAAGTGGTTCTAGCCACATTGAGTTGCAAGTGTCATTTCTCAGCAGTTAACATTCTGACACACACTCAGTTGCAAGTTTATTACAGCTAGCGCAAACCAATGCAGTCTAACACAACAGCCCTGCAATAACCCGACCTTTGTACAGGTTATATGGTTCAGAGTTTGCTGTAACTGTTTTATAGAGGCGCTGATTCAGATCATGGTGGAGGCTGTAGTTTAGAGATAGATAGATAGATAGACTTTAATTTATCCCGAGGGAGATTCAAGCATCCAGTATGCATACAAAAATAGCATACTTAAACTAAAATTTAAAAACCCTGACCTTAAAAAGAATCAAAAATAAGATCATAGATAAGATATAAGATAAGATATAAAGTATTATGTATGTATATAATATATAAAATTAACAGTATAAAATAAAATTAACAGTAGCTACAGTATTGCAAACAGCATTGCAAACAGTAAACAGTGCAAATGGAGATAAGATATAAAGTATTATGTATGTATATAATATATAAAATATAAAAAATATAAAATAGTTTGTGGTGCTGTTGAACTGTATTCCATTATACTATCTCTAAACAGAATCCAGTCTCCATCCAGCAAAACAGGACGCTGAGACAACCCAAGAGCTTATCTTTCTCACAAGAACGAGTGAACCTTCTCACATGCTTGGAGCAGGCAAAAGGCCAGGGTTAAGGGTGATTTTATACCTAAAAGTAATTTGACACAACAATCATACCACAGCTTGTGATCATCAGTCATGTTGTCTTGTTGAAATAACATATTATTATCATTATATATTTGTATGGAACTGAAAGGAGGAACTGTCACATGATGCATTCTCACTATGACCTTGGTGAGAACAGACAGCAGTATTAACATACACAGAGAGAGTCGTTAAGAGAGTACACTTAACATCTTATTAGCATATTTCTGATGAGGACACCAGAATGTCTGCATATT